CCATGTGGATTCCACCATTGGAGGTCAAAACTAAGCCTTAAACCACCCCCATCGTGGAAACATGTTTACATTATGTGACACACTGACCAAGGCATGTATCATTGGAACCACCTTTTCAGATGAAAAACTGTTATATGATTCGCTGATATGAAAGTCTACTAAAGTATCTACACAATGTAAACTCGATCAGAAGAGCGATGGTCCACTGGGAGCCTCCTGACAGACCTCTGCTGGCCTCCTTTCCCTCCTAGTTCGCCCTACCTCTCTACTTTCTTACCTTTCAATTGCTTCTGTCCCCAAGAATCAATTTTGCTTGTTAACCCCCAACTCCGAAGTGCTCACTATGTATCCGCCTTCTTGGTGTCCTGTTCTGGTTCTTTTCATGTGCCTCTCCCTGCCCCAGTTCCTTTAATACCACTTTGCTGATGTTTTCATTCAAATTATTTCCCCAAAAGTGTGCATAAAATTTTACAATTCCTTGAACTGACCCTGCAAAAATATGCTGAGTATGTCCCACGAATTAGCCGCTGTGCTGAGTGGCAAGGATCCAAAGGCCCGGGTAAGAACTGGTTTCTACTGTAAGGACCTCGCAGGGCACACATTTAGGGACAGAGACAAGTACTTTTGAGTTGCTGGGTTCCCCATGCTGGAAATGTGAGCACATTACCGAGGGAGGGTGGAACTAGAGTTCTCCTAGGTCTGTGAGAAAGAGTGTCCCAGGACACTGGGAAGGCTTTATACTGGGGGCATGAGCTGGATCTTAGAAAGAGGACAACTTTAGCAGACTTAGAGGGAAAAGACCAGGCATGGAGACACATGCCTGCAAATCCAGTACATAGGAGGTGGAGGCAAGAAGATCAGGAGTTCAAAGCCATCCTCTGCTACATAGTGAGGTGGAGGCCCCACTATGAAGTGGGCTATATGAAACCAACTCAGGGGGCAGGGAAAGGAAGAAATCACACAGAAAGTCATTCTGGAGCAAAGGATTGGAGTGAGCCAAGGCATGGGGTAAACGCTTGGTGACAAGCACCTAGGCTAAATGGTGTGACCAAAACAAACATGTCCACAGTGTGAGAAGTCTAGAACGGCACGGGAGCCAGGGTGTGACCTGGAGTGTGCGATCTTTCACTCTGTAGAAAATGAGGTGCAGTTAATCCTTCTGGAAGACTCGTGGTATTCCGACAGTACTGGAAGAGACATGTATAAGAAAAGCAGTAAGGCGGCTACTGCAAGAGTCTGTGTCAGTCACCAAATGCTCACACCAAGGCAGAACGCCGGGGAAGGAGGAAATGGTCGGAGGTTATAGAAAACAGTTGTGTTTACAGTTGAGTTGGAGGTTGGCAAACAAGGGGCATCAGATGCCGGGCACGACTTCATGTACGGGTAAAGGAATCGGACATGAGGAAGCTGGTCAGGTCTATCTTCAAGGCCAATGGAGTACATGCTTTACATACAATTACTTATGGAACACTAAAAACAGATATCCAATAAGCAGGAAAAGTGTCTCCAAACTTGAAGATAAGCAAACTTGAGAACTAGCAGCAATACATGCAATAGCTGAAGCTCGCCCTATGGAAAACCAGAGAAGTTTGTGTTTTGATGTCTTCCACTTGCTCACGTTTTGTTTTCTCCAAAGGGATTCCTTAAAGAGGAGTTTATCACTGTTAACTAAAATACTGAGGGGTGGGGGAGAAGGAGGACCTTATAAAAATCAATTAAAAATAAAATCAGAGCTAAAAAGAGTAAACGTAAAGCACAGTAAGTCCCAAAGCGCTCCCAGAAGCAATGCCACAACACGAGGCTGAGCAATGGCCAAGGAATGGAAAAGTGAGGCAGAGTGAAGAGAATGGACAAAAGAATGTAAGAAAAAAAAGGGGAGTCTTCCTTTTTTTTTTTTTTTCTAAAATTTTTACTTTGTTAACCCCCTAGTGAATCAGATATAGAAAACACTGGAATGGAGCTGAGACTGAATTGTAAAAGGGCGCAAATACAACAAGGAAAGACGTAACATATGCCAAGGATGGAAAAGGGCAAACAATATCATAGGAACAAATGTCAAAAAGAACGAAGGCCGATAACGCAAATGAAAACCTTAAACATATGTAGCTTTCAAAGTAAGCATGCCAACAGGAACTGAATAGGACAAAGAAAACAAGGACAAACATATCTGCATCATCCCTTAGGGTCAGTAAGCAGGGCAGTGTAGTGAATCGGAACCTTGCAGCCCTGGGCTCACACACTTACTTACCTGAAAAAACAAACAACGAAAGTAGTTTGTATTGAATAAGTATTTCAATGCGCTACTTATGCAACCTCAGGCAAGCAAAACCAAACCAAAAAAAAAAAAAAGTATAAACTTATAATAGTATGACTAAAATGTCCAGGACTTAGTGATCAATAAAGAGCTACCACAGAAGAAATTCTAGTGTATGCTACTATATCGAAGTCTGAATTCTAATTCTTCAAAGCTAAAACATGGATGGTTAGTCCAGTGGGCTAGCGAGCTATAACAAAACAGTAACATCCTTACAACCCTGGCTATTTGCATACTGCTGAACCATCTGAAACCACTTAGCTGTCCAAGCTCAGCTTGTAGTATTAAGTACACAGAATCAAAAGCATCAGTTTTGTGGCCAACACCACTCGGGATTTAGTATTGAAAATTTCTATTAAGGTTGAGAATTTAAATTGTGAGGGGTTTTACTGCATCTTATTAAATCCCATGTGCACAAAAATTATCTTTTAATTTTTGGGGTTTTTTTGTTTTGTTTTGTTTTGGAGACAGGGTTTCTCTGTGTAGCTCTGGCTGTCCTGGATCTGACTCTGTAGACCAGGCTGGCCTCAAACTCACAGAGATCCACCTGGCTCTGGCTCCCGAGTGCTGGGATTAAGGGTGTGCGCCACCACTGCCCAGACCTCTTTTTAATTTTTTGTAACATGTGTTTACTGTGTGAGTGTGTGTGCGCCACGGCATGTGTGTGGTCAGAGGACATTCCATCCTCTTTTCACCAGGGAGTGAACTCAGGTTGTAATATGGCAAGCATTTTTACTCATGGAGCCAACTTGCCAGCCCGGTTCATCTACTTTCTTCCTTTTTTTTTTTTTTTGGGTTTTTCCAGACAGGGTTTCTGTGTGTGTACTCTTGGCTGTCCCAGAACTCACTTATGTAAACCAGGCTGTCCCTGAACTCGCAGAGATCTGCCTGACTCTGCCTCACAGGTGCTGGAAATATTTTTCATCTTACAGACAAACATAAATTTTAAATTCCTTATATGTGATTGGAGTAATTAGAACTGAAAATAAAATATTTAATAGAAACATTCTCAATGTATCAGGGGAAAATATTTGACAGAAATGATTTTGTGCAGTCACCTTTGAAGACTCTATTTCGCCCCTAAGTTAGTTCAGACTGTAGCATCCTTCTAACTCACCGCAGTTTTCAAGGGCTCTGGGTACCTAACTTTGGAGTCCTATACACTATGCATCTGGAATTAACTGAAAGATCCTCGTCCAGTTAGCCATGATTTCGTGAACAGGGGTGTGGCCTTGCCTGGCCAGAGATGGAGTATATTTCCTGGAGTATAGATGAACACTTTTATCTGTTTTTAAAAGAGTTTTCAGGAAGCTCAAGAATCAGTATAAGACATTAAAATAACCAGGAATGTGTCAATGTGCCAAGTATTTCTAAACGTTGACACCATGAGACATTTTAGTAAAGCAAGCAATGAAGTTCAGTGTTGTAATAAGCAAGAAAGCTACTCGTGAGGACACTGCTGTCTTCAGCCACAGTGGGTCAAACCCACACCCATGGTGATCTGTCCTGTGTGCTCAGCTCTCAAGAATGACTTTTATTCTTTTAATATTATTATTTGTATTACTAAATTTCTGGTTGCTAAAGTCAAAATACACGTCTAGTCCTCATTTTACTTGACTACTCAGTGGCACTCGGGAACAGACCCGAGGGAGAGGGACAAAAGAGAACAATTCTACTGGCTCCCATGTCTGTAGATACCATGAGGAAATCCACTTCACACACACACTTACCTGAAAAACCAAACCACGAAAGTAGACTCTGGAGCCACGCTGGTTCAAGTCTTGGCTCCAACACTTTTTAAAAAAAATTATTTATTTTTATTTTATGTGCATTGGTGTCTTGCCTGAACGAGGGTGCCAGATCTTGGAGTTACAGACAGTTGTGAGCTGTTATGTGGGTGCTAGGAATTGAACTCAGGACCTCTGGAAGGGCAGCCAGTGCTCTTAACGGCTGAGCCATCTCTCCAGCACTGGCTCCAACCCTTTTTAGCCGTGACTTTGGACAATGTTGAACTCTCTGTACCTCAGAACAAGTCTCCTTGTTTGTAGGAAGGTGAAAGCACACTTGCTTCAACACTTTGATCTGAAACCTCTGATCAGGCCTTTCTTGAGAACCACCCGAAACTGGTCTGCTTACTTCTCCTCCGACGGCTCCTCAATTCCATCTCCGAGCTTCCAATCCAGTATGTCTTCTGCATCACAGTCGCCTTGATTGTTTGAAACCACAAATCTGAGCGCATCCTGCGGCACAGCTACAGCAGGCCCCCTCAACAGGTAAGCAATGCCAGGCTAGCTCTCTTCATGCTCATCCTGAGCTAAGGGGAATCACACGTGTCGTGTCTTTCACAGGCCACCATCTCTGTGCTTATTCTACTTCTCTAGAAACAAGCCAGCTGTCATTCACTATGCTTTCACCAATGTCAGACCATTGTCTACTTTCTACTTGGGATGCCTGTTTGTTTGTGGACATCTCTTGCCTAGTCAGATCCTCCTGCTACCACCTATCAAAACCATACACCAGAGACTGTGTCTTGTTTCCTCTTTGTCCATCGCCCCGACCTTTACCTGTTTCTGTGTTCATCATTTACTCCACACCCTTACTTCAGTGCCCACTGAGATGAGGTAGAAGGCGCCAAGAGGAAATGTGTACATAATTTAACTAGACAACAAAACTTCACACTGAAGGGAACATTCTAGAAGTATTTATTTCATTGCTGACCATTAGGTTGCAGCATGCAACTCTCAACAATGAGCTGCCACCCTCCATTCTCAGACAAGCACCAAACACTATGGTGCAACTACTTAGGTTTTCAGTCTTCCAAAGGCCTGTATTGCCAATATCATTATTTATGGGATAAGCCTTTTAGGGAATTAAAAGCACTTATTCTCTACAAAAAGTCATTTGTATTTCATGCACAAAACTCTAATTGGCAGATTTACGTTCATAATAGAAGACATTTATTCTAGTTCTGTAATTATCAGGAATACAATAAGCATCCCTACCGGCCTTCTCATAAGGGAGACTGTTGTCCTCCACCAGGAATAGGGCAGCGGTGATGATCTCTAGGGTTATAAAACTGCTTACTAAAAGTCTTTCCAAAGATGTTACGAAATAAGAAGTTGGCTCATTTTCCAGTACAATTTAAAGAAATGTTTGCAGTATCTGCAGAAGTTGTAGGTTATATTGTAGACCCTTGTGATTATATTCAAAAGGCCTATTCTCCCCACTTATAAAACACTACCTCAGAAGGTAAAAGGTGAGATCCCCATTATCCCTGAGCAAAAAGGGGAAGAAGTTTTATGTACTTTCATTGGTTAATAGAAGTCATTGTTATGAGTTCTCTGTCCCTAGAACATTCTTGCAGAATTTACAAGAACGGAAAGAGGAATGAGGGGCTCTCAGAGACAGTCTCTATAATGTACTTGGGTATTTATGTGTGAGTGAGTAGCTGATCGGCAATGATGATACATTTAACTAACCACACTGCTGAGTCTGTCACATTTTGAAATTTGGGAATATCCTGACAGGATATTTATGGGATGAAACTAGGAATTTAAGCAAATTATGATGGAAAGAAAACCAAGAATGGGGAAAAGTATAGAGGACAAAGTGGAAGTCAGGGGCAGGACAAAGCTGGAGTTCTGGGCTGGGCCTTTCTTCTCATGAAACAGAGCCTCTGACTACCCTACCCTACACTCACTCTATGGAGATCACACACTCCAAAACAATTATGTCCCGAGAGGGTCTTTTGAGTCTTAAAGAGTAAATGAAGAGGAAGGCGGATCTCTGTGAACTCAAGGCCGGCCTGGTCTACATGAGTTCCAAGACAGCTGAGGTTAGAGAGACCCTGTCTCAACAAAACAAAAATTAAAATAGAATAAAAACAAATAAGAAACAAAAAGAGTAAATGACGGGAAAATTCCAGCCTTTTAGTCAAGCAATGCTATGTAATTTCAAGGCGTATTAATATAACTGATTTAACCCCAAAGCAACTGTGCAATAAGCAAAATACAAAAAGAGAATAAACGAAGGTCAACTTCCTACAGTGGCCAACGCACAGGACCTGTGCATCAAAGCAATCAACCTTCACATACTTCGAGTCTCACTTGAAAGTCAACCACAAATGTCACCAACAAAGGAATGTCGATTAAAGTGAGCCTTCTTTGGAGGGAATTTCAGGGTGTTGCTAACATGGGTTGGCTACCTTAAATGTCACTGATGGCTCCATCAGAGAGAGAACGCCCAGTTCTTCTGTCTTACAAATGTACTTGGAGGGAAAGAAACAAAACCAACAATCTACTGTTCCCTAATACATCTGGCTTAGCCCCAGAGGAAGTCCCTGCCCCCAAAGAGACTTCCACATGGGTTAAGCTTCCTTAAACAAGGCGGCATCTTTCGTTTTCAGGACAGGTCTTTTCTTGCAAGGTCTTTAGAGGCAGAAGTTCCACTGGATTCTAATACACAGCCCTGTGAGCTCAGTTCCCTGAAAACACACACCTGCTGGGTTCTAGGTTCTCCCTTCCCAGTGACTAGGCTCGCTCCACCTCACAGCCACCAAAACCGCACATACACTATCAGCATGATGAAAAATACAGCTACTGCCGCAAGTTTGGCGTACGTGGAACGCATGTTCAGG